TCATGAGGGGGAAACATGCAAGAGATTGGTCCTGCTTGTCTACACCTCCCATTCCACGATTATACTCCAGAACACAGGTCGGTTTTATTTGTCGATGCAATTTTGTTTATCGGTACTGTTAGGAGGGGGAAAGCATCTCCAACAGTCTAAACAAAACAGCATCAATGCACGACCGAAACAATTAAAGAATCTAATAATGAAATGCACGGCGTTCGCCGAATTCAGTTCTTGACGTCTTGGAGACGTCGAAGTCTACAATGGCACATGAAGTAAATGACGTCTCCCAGACGTCATTGTATGTCAAGTGGTTAATAGAATTTTCGCGCGTCCTATAATCGCATCGCGCGGGTCCGTCGTTAAATCCCGCGCGATCTAATATTCGGGCGAATCCGTGGACCGATGGTCGAAACCGTACGAAAACATCGCTATTTTCCGGCTGCCTGCGACGCCTGTAATTTAACGCAATTCCCGGCGATAAAGCGAAATTGGAAAATTCACACGGCCGTCTTACGACCCGTTTGCTTCGTAATAAGTAGCGGCCGTGTCGAATTGCGATTCCCGGCGAACGGTTCTCGCACGCCGGAGCGTTCTGTTCGATTAATTCTGGGGGCACATAAAACGTAACCAATCCCCCGGCGTTCCTCTTTCCGTCAAACAAAAATCGAGTAGGTCCGAGCGAGAGCAAATCGGAGAAGGGGAGACCAATATCCTCGACAATTTTTCTCTCGGCGAACGGCCGCGACGCGACGACGACAAGCGTCGAACATTAAATTACCAGCCCTTGCCTTTTCCGGTTCCATATCGCTTTTTAAACTTGTCTTCGTTCGATCGCCGCGTTCCACCGGCGTTCCACGGATTTTATAGCGCAGTTACAGATCCGGGTGAAATTGCGAGATAACTTTTGATTCCGCGGGCATCTGCTTATAGCACTGAAACTTGATTGCACGTTCGTTCGACTAGCGCGCTATGGAATTGTATTCTACGATCGCGCGGACTTTTCCCGTCGAAAATCGCAGGCTTCCCGGCTGTTCTACGGAAACATTCGATAAAAGTACAATGTTCCGTTCGCAAATGAGTGTCGGAGAGTTTCCCACTTCCCGATGGATAATCACATGACTGGAGTTTCGAGAGCTGTATAGCTTGAGTAATCTCTTCGCAGGTAATGATGTACTGCGCGTTTTGAAATACTGCAGTGGTATCTGATAAGTAGAATGCGGATTTTGTGCATTTATAGGAAAATCGAGTGGTTACAGTTTAAAATGGTACGATTCGAATAATTTTAATTTTGTTAATTTATGAGATTAAAATAATTTTCATGTGTCAATGCGTTGCTTTTAATCTATCAAAGTTATGGAAGACAGACGGAATTTCCTATTTAGTTTCTGTTTCTTGTAATTGATGCAGACAATTTTTAACTTTCATAAAAATCCATGGTCTTCTAATGAGTGTACATTGCAAAGTAAACATATTCTGCATCGATTGTAAGCAACAATAGTTATTTTACCGCTGTCTGTAATCGTTCTAATGAGCAATCGATTTAAGATAATGTTTTAAACTTTGTTGAATCATTTGTGTCATGAGAGTGTTAAATCTGCTGAAATGAGTTAGTATCACGAATTTGTTTAAATATAGAAATAGCAATCGATTGAACAATTCAATATTTTCACGATTATTGTAATAAAACGTAATTTTTCAAGTAAATTTTTCTTTATCTCACAATCAGCTCAGATTTGAATACGAAATTAATTTTACATTGCTATGGAAAAATATAAACTGCCTCAATATCCGTCGACTAAAAGCTGATTTAGTGGAGTGACTTCGTACCAGAAATAGAACCGAACTATTCCCGTTAATTTATTCCACACACCCGTATAATGATGAATCGTGTGTATGTGTGTGTGTGTTTACGATCTCGATTTTGGCACCACACATCAATTTATACGACGCATTTGCAGTTCGATCAACAATACCCTGCAGATACTTATATTATTCATTCTAGAATTGCATCACGAAATATAAGTAACAATTTTAATTATAATTTATGTTCATCTAATATATCTCAGTTTTATAATGCAAAATAATCCCTGAGTTGTAAAATATAGCCCTGATAGTATGGCTTTGCTAATTATGCAAATAAATGTTCCTCATTTCTTTAACAAAATCATGCAGAGCATCTTGCACAATCTTATTTCATACAATACTTTCATACTTATTTCAGAACAACTTCACAAAATATAAACAACAATATTTTAATAGTAATAATAATAATTTAATAATAATAATATTTTAATAATTATTATTATTATAATTCGTTTTACACCCTCAGTTTTATAATACAGAATAATATAACCCAAATTTTCAAAATGTAATCCTAGTGGTATATGGCTTTGCTGGTACGTAAATAAGTATTTCCATTTCATTAACAGAAGCATATACACAGAATTTTAAGCTACGGATTTAAATTTTCACTGCAATATAGTTATATCCTCGCGGCATTTTTAATTATTACGGGAAACGAAGCCGGAGCAAAAAAGAGTTACCAGAATTAAGTTTATGTTACGACCAATATATATTCGCCTTAAAAATTTCAATATCGAGCGGCGGTTATTGTAAGCCACAACATCTTTTAATGTAACTATTTCCTCCTAAAATATGAAACTGCTCGGCCAGTATCCGCCGTAGTCGCGATGGCTGTGTAGGAAATTGGAGATTACCGGGAACAGTTGATACAAATGGTGTCATAAAATCTATACGGCTTGCACGGAAATTTTTTAATATAAGAGGGTGGAGGCCTTAAGCACAATACCAGTTGAATTTTTCATTTATTCCTCCTTCGAGTGGAGTCCGGCGTTTCAGTCCCCTTGAAACAAAGATCGTGGTAGAAAACAGACATACTTGAGTGCGCATTGAGCGCATAGAAGATGCACTTTACGATACTTTCGTGGAATTCGACGCACTTTGTTAACAATGAATCTACCAAGCTCGAAAAGTGACTAACGCGCGTTGATTTATATAACAAAATTGAATTCATTCTTCGCTATTTTTATCATGATCTGTGCTCGAATGAAGAAACCATCGGAAGAAGAAACCTCACCAAATTTTCTGTGAGGGTGTCTTTATAATTTCAACAATTTTAAAAAATAAGATGAAGTGTCAAAATGATGACACTTAACACTAGATTTACTATAACAATATCCAGCAAATATTTATTCCAACTTTTAGTGATTCTTATTATAATAACAAGTCGAATGAAACAAATTTATTTAATAAATTCCCCATAAATGCATCTTTTCAATATCAATAAACGCAAATTACAAAATTTGCTCAAATTCTACAAATAAAAACGTTAATTTCTTCAATAGATCGCTAATATCTTTTATATTATTTAACTTTTTTAATTTTATTTATTTTATTTTATTTAATTTCCATAAATATTTTATTTTATTTTATTCTATTAATCATAAAAATTGTATACATGTTCTAATTAATTCTTACGTCATTCTCATTTTTATACAAAATTCCTTAAATACATAAAGCAAAAGGATTTCGTCCGTTGAAATAAACGAATCGATGAAAAGTTTGCTAGTATTAAATCGCCATGGTACCGTGACATTTTCAACGACGAAAACAATGATTCTAGATCTTCGCGACACGGAACAATAATTATTTGTGAGCACGACGTCCTCGCGTCCACGACGGTTTCCTTTGTTCGCTGTTGAAACCGGTTTCCCGGATATGATTTGTCGAAATAATCCGTACGATTTCGTTCGCTGGTTACGAGTATCGTTGATATCGACGAATGGATAAAAGAAAACCGAGTCGCGAGAAGATTCCATCCACTGTCCGAGGCGATCGGGATTCTGTGCCAAACGGGAACCTCGAAACATTTATTTCGCCGAGCCTGTATGCACCGGGAAACTTTTCGATGGAATACTTTTTTCCACGGACTTCGTGAAAAATCTCGTATCAGTTTTTATCGTGGGAATAAAACCGCTGCGAAAGTTGAGCGTAACTGTGACGATATTGATCAACCGTGCTGGACAAAACATGATAACGATATATTTGAAAATACCAAAAACGAACGATTCAACGCGAAGACGAAATTTTCGACACAGAAATAGTATGTCGCGAAGATGAAAATTAAAATATAAATTGCGTGGAATCTAAATCCATATGAGAATGTAATTAATCATTTGGACGTCGCCGATACGTCGACGACACTAAATTATTTTCTTTCAAGGTTATCATGTAAAATACAAAACACAAAATCATTCGTTTATTAATTCCTATAAAACTTCACAATGGTATAATGATTTTTATTTCAATTCAACTTTTTTTGTATAGCAGAATTTTTCAGTGCAAATAAATCAACGGAGTGTTAAAAGTTAAAAAGGATTTAAATTATAAAATACATATTAATATGGAATTAATTTTCCTTTATTTTTATATATGTATATTATATATACAGATTTGTATGAATTTGTACGATTAGTTGATTATGTGAAGGCAAATAAATCAACGGAGTGTTAAGAGTTAAAAAGGATTGAAATTATAAAATACATATTAATATGGAATTAATTTTCCTTTATTTATATATGTATATTATATATACAGATTTGTATGAATTTGTACTATTAGTTGATTATGTGAAGGCATTGAAGTCAGTCTTTGATCGTGAAAGCAGAACACACAGTTATCGAGGCGACGTGCCTTTGTCATTTTATACTGGTATCAACAGTGTAATAATTTATTCTAGCGAATTCCAGCTATTTGTCCGGTTTTTCGCCATTCTTGTAGCCCAACTTGAAGAAATCTTTCATAACAACGTTGAACGTTACTGTAACAGCACCCTCCACCCTCATACGTGTCACTGCAATCATAAAAGTATATAGAAAATTACAGTATATACAAAATAAGTAATTTCGTAATTTTTGGCAACCCGTAATGATAACAATGTATAAAGTTAGCCGAACAATGTTTATTTTATTTTCAATTCAAACTGTAATTATTTTTTTATTTCCATTTATCAAATTATGAATCGCTTTATTTAAAATCACAGCGATGTCCATACATCTCTGAACAAATGAAAATAATTATCTTTTTGATAGATACATTCTGAAAATTATGTTAAAGAATATAATGGAAACTTGTCGAAATAACAATCTCGGTAAAAATGAAAATCGTGAGCTTCGTTGGTCGTCGTCATCATTTTATGCCAACAGTAAGATTCTAGAGAGAGAGAGAGAGAGAGAGGGAGAGAGAGAGGGAGAGAGAGAGAGGGAGAGAGAGAGAGAGGGAGAGAGAGAGGGAGAGAGATAGAGAAAGAGAGAGGGAGAGAGGGAGAAAGAAAGAGAGAGAGAGAGAGAGAGAGAGAGAGATCCCGAATATAATCAGAATGAAAATTTTACTGTAGCTTTATTAAGAAAGTGGATGATTGCTGCACCGGTGTAAGTGTGATCCCTAACGGGCTACGTGAAACGTATCAATTGATTTGTGCTCGCTATTTTGACAGGCAGAATTGTTTAATTCGATTGACCGGCCGTACGGAACGTGCATGTTAATACAGCCGACATATCGGCTGTCTGTCCTAAATACGTTGAATCCCCGCGAGTTCAATTAATTTAATGTCAGAGGTATATCATCGCGAGCAAACGTGAAACCGTTCCAAATATATGTATATTGTCTTACGTTCTCTTCCGCCGTTTGAGGCTAATATTGCTGGATCAATTAGTTCTGGTCTTCGACCGGTTAACCAGGCTGCAAATCGTTGCAACGTCGACGAAGATTCCGGCACGTACACTGCTACCCTATAAAATTAGGATATTTGCATACGCATCACGAGCAATAACAATTTCACGCTGTTTCTATTATCCGGATCATTGAACTGTGGATTTTATAACGGAAATCGGTAAATGATATATACGAGACAGTGAAAAATATAAATTGTAATATAACGTTATAATATACGTTTTAAATTTGTATAAAATTGCATTATTGTTGTTTAAATTTGTTATGTTGTTATGTTGAAAATTAACGTACCTCTTTTCGTGGTAACCTGTCTTCAAAGGTAAATGGCATACTCCGTATCCCCGTATGACATCATGGCCGAATAGGTCCAGGCCGTAAATTGACATGATCATTTGCGGCCCTAAGATATTAAACTTTTTGTAACGACTCGTAGAAAAAAAAAATATAATATCAATATATAGAATATTTATAAAATATGCAATGAATATATTCTTACAAGAAGAAAAAATATATAAAGGAAGTGAAAATATTTTCGCTTATACAGAAAAAGAAAAATAGTTGAAAAATTATCTCGACGCTGTTTAAACACCACAATTCAAACAAAATGGTAGGTATTTTAAACAGCACATAAAATCTCAGTAAATAAAATATTTATTATTATATAATAATTATTATATATATTATATATATATATAGTTATATATATATATTATATAGTTATATATATATTATAGTTATATATTATATTACTAATAATAGTAATAAAATATTACTATTATTATATAGTTTACTTTGAGATAATAATTTCAAAAGAACTTGTTACGTTAATCTTAATAATTTGATGGATTATGAGATCATTATAGTTGACAATTATTTAAGAAATTCATCACTGCTGGTCTTTGATCTTAAAAGGACTAATAGCAAACGTCGGTAGATTAAGTGTTAAAAGCGCTAACAAAATCAGTCAACTTACATCCGTGCGGATTGGTGCTTTTAAACGTGATTTCTAGAGGGAAATTCCAAACGGCGAGATTTCGCGGGTCACTGCTGCACTTGCACATCTGCGTCAAACCCTCTTCGATGCCCTGATAGAATTTTATCAGCCGACGCCGGCCGACGACGCGATGTTAAAATTCACGGTGGAGAGCGTGCACATGCACCGGGATTCAACGTTAACAGCGGCGGCATGTAAAAAGTGAAAAAGGAAGCGGAACTCACAGCGACTACGGTCCATTCGGGGCCAAAGTGAAATCCATACTTGCAGTAGACGTTGTCCGCGTCGTAAAATTCCGCGTGCTCGATGGAACCTATAATCGAGAGAAAAAATTCACCGTCGCCGGACATCGCGGCTTTTCGAACTGGAAAACCGAGGGACCAGCGGTAACTTTATTTCCGAACGGAGATTCTCTTCGATCATGCGTTCGTTCACGCTGCTACGGCCCGCTTTTGTGTACGATTATGCGAACACGTCGCCGTGGTAACGAAGCATGCGCTATAGCCCACTTTTGTGGAACATATGCTGATGGTTAAAAAGTTGAAATGGAACTTGGGCCATATGCAGAGCGCGCTCGAAACGTTCCTTCCTTCTTTTCATTACGTAAGCGTGTCAGACCTACGCAAATTTTCTTCGAAATGAAAATAATAAGCAACTATTACAAATAATTCAGTTCTTTGTATTACGTAATTTAATAATATATAATAATAAATTTGCTTCGAAATGAAAATAAAAAACAGCTATTTGAAAAGATTCATTTTTTCAAACTGTTATTTGAAAATAAAGATAACATCGAACCGTTTGAAATAATAGCAATATTAAGTAATGTATCGTTTTCGTTAATTTTTTACTTTCATATATGATGTAAGAATCATCAAATTACTATGCAAAGAAAAGATTTTATTTTAAGAAATCTTTACTACAATTCGCTTTGAGCCAGAAACTGTTTCCTCAAAAACTTCTTGATTAAGAGATTTTTGTCCTCTTATCTCGCAGAAATGTTAATGAGGAAGTCAGCATAAATTAGACTCGTATCTGATAATTCCATCATATAATTATCAAGAAGAACCTCGCAATCATTTTAGAATTATTTGACAACTAAAAAATTCTTCGTGGCGAAAGTAAAATAAAAATATCGTTAACATTTGTTGGCTTACACGTACTTTTGTCCTGTAACGAAGAAATATTATCCTCTTTCGTTAAATTTATGTAATCGAATTCAGTGGCACTCAATTTAAATTAATTTACCCTCAGATTGGATTAATTTTGAAATTTAATAGAAAAGAAAATTGCATAGATAAATCCTGCGACTGTATGAAGGGCAATGATTGAATTGAAAATAAATGGAGTAATTATGTAAATGATTAAATTATTTTGCAGTCACGGTGCGTTTTGCTAAAATATGTATAAACTAATCAATAACAGCAGTGAATAAAATCATTCAAGAATCGAGCGTGAGAGACACTGTTAAAAGCACGTGTTCTAATTAAAGAACCGCCGTTGTTCCAGCACATGCGCGTCGAAACTGGAAACTTAACATCTGGTTATTATTATCAGTTCATAAAACCCAACTTTTCCTCCCCCCACCCGGAAAATCAAGCGATCGTAGCGCATTTCTTAAATGAGTTAATCAAAAATCATAATTCAGAACATCGCTACAAAATATTAATCATAATTTTCACAAGATATGATAAAAATAATACGGACTATTTTTAAGCTGTTAACATTAAGAGAAGCCATCAACATATTAGTTATTAGCATTTAGAAGGACTTTTATCAACGCGAAAATATTTATCAAATAATAATCGTTTCCTAAATCCTACTGCTAAATAATAGCTCGGTTCTTCTCCCGCTGTTGATCAATAAATAATACCGTCATATTTAAATCAATACGAACTATATACAATGATTACAAAACCATATTCTGTAGTTTATTTTTAATTTACATTCTGGTTACCGACCAACTTCATTTCAATTACCAATAAATCTTGCATCATCCCAGACAGAACTTCCTCCAACTGACGCAATGCTCTCTACCTTAACATCGACCAGTAAACCTAATCATTCAATTGATCAAGGAACTGAAACTTATCTTATCGGAATCAAAAATAGTACTTCACAAGCAGAAGTAAGCGTCACGTCATCGATTGTAATTGGAAACGAAAATTCCATCGTTCCAATTATCAAAATCACACATTCCCCATTTCTTATCAATAGATTGCGGATTTTGTACATTAATAAAAGCAAAGACTAGATAAAATACCAAAATCAATTATTAATGTTATCAGAGAAGCTAGGACATATTGTATTTATAATATTATAATTATATTATTTTAACTTTTATTACCATTTTATAGTTATTACTATTATTACTATTATTACTATTATTACTATCATTACTGTTATTACTATTATTATTATGTCGAATTTGTATAGGAAAATTAAAAGGGCATCTCGCACGTATATGCTAAATAAATTTTGGTCGAGATTAAATTAAATAAAAAAGTAAGCCTATTAGAAACGTTTCAGAACACTGCTATCATCTGCTCAATTTAAATATCCAAGTTATTAAAAATCGAACAACATTTCTGTATACTTTTCATTTCTTACAATTGAATTAGAAAATTCGTATTTTGCACGTCAACATCTGCTGTACACCCATCAAACTCCCCAATCAAATGAAGAAACAACCACGAATGATAAGCTCACTTGCTCAACCTTTTATTTGTTCATCGAGTAACAACAACGATCTTACAATGTATTATACTTCATCAGTCGTATCTAGAAAATCGCATTGCCAGAACATGATTCTACTCTGCGAACGATATATGTAATATATATATATACAAGATTTAATCGATCGGTATTGAGGTATGTGGCTGGTGTGGGAGTGTGTGTGTGTGTGTGTGTGTGTGTGTGTGTGTGTGTGTGTTTGGGCCAAGGGGGTATATGGTACAGTCTCGACGTGCCATCGGCGGGCTGCGATACGTAATTGAAAAATGAACACGTTTGGCACGTCCAGTCCGCACATCAGGTCCTTTTGCCTATCGCTGGGAACTTCCGCTCCGATCCCCGAATCGCGAGTCCGGAGGGATCGGCGGCCGATCGCTGCAGCTAAATTCGACAATTAAATTCATCTACGTATTATCCGTGTACTAGAGTCTCCGTAAAATTACAACCTGCGCCCGGATTACGAGGGTTCATCATTGTACGACGACGGTGGTCGGCGAAACACGTTTGTTCAAATATTGTCGTGAAAATGATCATTGCTTCGCGCTGTCACCGACACTTGCAAACTTTCTCCCGGCCCGGTTCGCGCCCTTCGCGAGTCACGTAACGAGTATCTACCTGGAAAATCGGGGCGCGCGCCTGCCCCGTTCGCATTTCCCTAGAGATGTGTACACGCTAGCTAGCTACAATCACGCGTTTCTTCTTTGTTCACGAACGATGACGGTGTTCGGCGATGGTAATCGCGCGCTTACTTTCCGGCGGAGATCTCCTTCATCCGGTTCAGGGCCGAGCCAGCCTTGAACCACGTGATCTGCTGATCGTTCATGGTATGGTTCAGGGTGATCTTGTCGACCTTGCCGTCCTGGTGCTTGATCTCCGCTGACACCGGCTGCAAATCACAGGAATCACTCGGTTAGATGGCTCGGCTGATCGGAATACTTTTATCTCTATTTTTGGCGGCCGCTTGCGTTGCCTTCGTGCTTCGCGTTACTGTTTTGTCACGGAACTCACTTGCGAAAGAAGGATATTTGTGGCGCAAATGAGCTCCGTTATTAACCGGCCGATATCGAAATTGCGTTTTTAGAATTATATCGCTGGCGAATTTTTCGACGAAAGAATTGCGATGTTTTCGTGGGAATTTCGGGATCCGTGTCAAATTATTATCTTTCGTCAGCGCCGATTAGCGCGTTATCTATTCTGGGGATTTCTTATTTTCGATGACACGAGTGAAACGATTACGCTTGCTCGGTGTCTACGTTTCGTGTACAATAATAACAATCTTAGTAAACGTAGCGAAAATTGCCAGAGACGTTAGAACGTTCACATAAGAAAATATAATCGTGAAATTGTTATGCGTTGTTTTCATTTTCGAAAAGAAAGCGAACGAGAAAGCTATCGCTTTGAGTTTGTTGGAATGCATAAAATGCCAAAATTACGTTCCAGCCGATTACGATTAAAATTACGATTAAACGACGCGAACGAAACGATTGTCGCGCGACTTTCGGCCAAGCTGTTAACACGTTCCGTGCCAAGCCATTTTTGCCTAACTTGTCGTTCAGGCCATTTGATGTTTTGACTAAAGATTGATACATTATCACATAATATTTCATTATATCATCAGTAGATAAGTAGTGATTGCCCGAATCAACCGTTTTTATGCAGCTCTTGCTTTAAAAAAGTCAAACATTGTAATTAATAGTTATTGTGTATATAACGATTAAACAAATTTATGTGCTTTGTTCTATACAGCATTTTTTACAATGCCTCTCATCCTTTTGGTGGAAATATATTTTATACAATCAAATTTGTCACAAAATGTATGTCTTCAGCGCTTTAAATAAATATGTCCGCGTGTACCATTTATGGTACACGTGGCCTGATGGTCAAGTTTAACGTGTACCATTTATGGTACACGTGGCACGGAACGTGTTAAACCAAGAGACGAAACGAAGCGATTATTGAACACGTACCTTGCCAGGTGCGAGGTCATTCAGTCCCAAAAGGCTGATCTTATCGGTGGGCTGGATTTTGTCGTAGTCGCTAGGATCGGCGAAGGTCAAAGGCAACAGGCCTTGCTTCTTCAGGTTGGTTTCGTGGATACGGGCGAAGCTCTTCACGATGATGGCACGGCCACCGAGATGTCTGGGCTCCAAAGCGGCGTGCTCCCGAGACGAACCCTCTCCGTAGTTTTCATCGCCAACGGCTACCCATCTGACGCCTTTTTTCTTGTAGTCCCGGGCCACGTCCGGCACACCTCCCCATGAACCGCTCAGCTGGTTCTTGATCTTGTTCACTTCACCATTTTCGAAGTTGACAGCGCTGAAAAATCGCGTGGTTATTTTATGCGCGTCTTATTCGTGACAGAATGCAGATTTTATTTACTAACCCTTCGCACTCGAAGCTATTTCAACTGTAAATCTAAAATAATTTTTCTGGCTTATATACTATTTTTATTTTATATGATAAAGCGCACTTTATGCATATGAAATTGATTCTTGTGACTCACGCAACAGTTACGCTCTCTTAACAAGTTTTTAAATGTAAACTTTGTTATTAATATAAAAATGGTGTAACAAATTTTAATGGTGCCTCAGAGTCACCACTCGAGTGCAAAGGGTTAATCACCGAATTAAGAAGGTGAAATAGAAAACAATGTGTAAATTATTATCCTAAACCGATAATGCATTGTGCTTGAGATCTTTGAACTTCTTGAACATTCTCCGTTAGCAATCTTGAAGATCGATGAAAGAAAATGACAATGAAATAACAACAATTGATTGTTAGAAGCTATCGGAATGGCATTGTTCGCATTCTGTGGCTAATGTGCTCGACGAGTTCTTTCCTGGCCTTCGAAATTCCACGATTTATTCAGCTTACCCAATGAACATGTTGTTTGAGATGTTGTCCAAGTGGCCACGATATTTCAGCCACGGACCAGCGGCAGAGATGTGATCAGTTGTGCACTTTCCTTTGACTTTGATTAAAACCGTCAGGTCGGTCAGATCTTTGCCGTCCCATTTATCGAATGGTTCCAAAAGCTGTAATCTCTGACTTTTCGGGTCCACGTCGACCTTCACTTTGCTACCGTCGTTTGGCGGCATGTCGTAGGTGTCCATGCCAGGGTCGAAACCTTTGCTCGGGAGCTCATCGCCTGGAACATTCACGCAATTCAATCAAACCTTTATGAAAGCCGTCACAATTCATAGGAAATCTTTGTTTCTATAGAACAGTAGGCATGACTTGAATGATTTAAACATTCATAGAATTCATAGGGTGACGAAGGATTCGATTTGCCATAGGAGGCTTCTTGTGGTAAACATGATGTCATTAATTCTCGTCAATTATAGCCGTTGTTAAAAAATATATAACGTCTTACGACTAAACTGTAAAGTTTATGCAAATGAAGAATTAAACTCGAACTGAATGTAGCCTAATTCTCGCCATAATTCCGTTCATAAGTCCCCCAATCAATCGAAAGCAAACTGAAACAATATACTGCATTCATTGCAGTTTGCATTTTGCTAATTTAAGAAAATGTTTGTACGTTGTGCAATCATAATATTATAATCCGTCAAATTATAAATGATTCTTCTGATTAAAGGTCTCCCAGACGAACGAACATGAAGACTAAACGAGCAAGTAACTATACAAATCATCGTACACAGATCAGACGTCGCAAACGTCGCTTTATAATAACAAAGCCAACATAGGATCTCTTCTTATTATCACAAAAAATACACATTATTATGCGCTGCTAACGAGCTGCTACTAAATATTGCATTCGTGTCTCCATGATAAAAAGCGGCACGCGAAGCAACTACGTATTAAATATTAAAATTACTGAAACATTCCAAGAGGCTATTAACTATTAAGTAGAACGTAAATGGAAACAGCTCATTTGCTTCCAAAGACGGTAATCAGTTTTATTTTCAATCCGTCGAAGACTCGGTGTACTGTGGGGACAACGGAGACTTGTTACGAAAGAGAGAGTCGTGAACTATGACTCATCCATAATTATTCACAAATTAACGCGTCGTCGGGAGCCATTAGAAGCTTATCGTTCTCGTAACGTTTCGCGCGTCGACTTATTCCCACGACAATTAGCTCGCGTTATCATCGACTCACCGAAGGGGTCCTTCAGAAGGAACTCTTTGCCATCCTTGCCCTTCAGTTTGTCGGTAACTGGATTGAAGTCCAATCGGCCAGCGATAGACAGAGCTGTGACCAGTTCGGGGCTGGTGACGAAGGCGTGGGTGGCTGGGTTCGCGTCGTTACGTCCTGTGAAGTTACGGTTGTACGATGTGACGATGGTGTTCTTGTCGCCCTTCTTGATGTCCTTACGATCCCATTGGCCGATGCAGGGTCCGCAGGCGTTCGCCAACACGGTTCCTCCGAATTCTCGGAGCGTTTTTGCCTAGAGGGAACATCGTGTCACTATTCGCAGGAATTTATTTAGCAGAATATTTTTGATCTCAGAAGTGAGTCTTGAAAGCAATTCTAGCACGACATTTTTTTAATGATTTGACAACAATAGATGAATGCATTTTCTATTTTAAATGAGAGTATATTCTTCAAGCTTATCGTCGCATCAACAGATTATTATATATTTTGTCAATTATCTTGGTATTTTGAGACGTTTTTGTAGGTCATGTATTTTATCATCGTCGACGTTATCTTTCATGGGCGATTAATTAAGTACTCGAATTTAGATTGCAAATGTACGTCGTTGTTTGTACAGTGAATGACAAGTGTCTGTCAATCAAATTAGTTATCACAATTGTATGTTAAGATATTCAAAGGTGATTCACTATAGATTGCAGTTGATTCATATTTAGATTGGACTTCGACCTGAACCATTCGCAATCGTACAAATACTGAAACGAAGTTTGTGCCCGAAAATTTCCATTGGTCTCGTCTCCCTAAAGCTTTCAAAGCGGTACACAAAAATCACAAGAAAGGAAACGTATTAACGTGAACAGAGATTCTGAAAAATTGGCAAGAATAAGAAACATACAGAAATGACTAATTGAAAATAATTCTTGCGACTCCTCAAATCGTTCGAAAGAGCGTTCGCAATCGTTACAAATTACTGAAGTTAATCGTAAACGATTGTCTTAACATTCTAAAATGACAGTAATAACCAGACTGTGGATCTTTAGGCATTCATTGAATTTACAGATTTTCAAGATACTAGAAAACGTAATAAACAATGTTCAATAGCATTTCTATTTTCATTTTGTATTGAGTCGACTGCGGATTTTATGCATTTTTGAGAAAAGTGAAATCATAAATACATGAGAACGATTAGAGAATATTTTTATATTACGTAGAACTTATTAAAGTGATTACAATCAACTTAGACAATTTTTATTTTGCAGAAAAACCCGCAGTCTGGTAATAAATAATCTGCTGCTAGACGAACAGAAACTTTTCTTCAATCCTAATTTATGTAAACTGTTGATGAAAATGAGGAAATTTGCATGAGGATCCACGGTCTACTAATAAGAATCTCGAATGTCATGAATAGCCACTAACGGAAGAAAATAAACGTCGAAGTTATATCATCGAAAACAACGAGCTGTTAGCCGAATATCTCCATAGCTGCATTCAGAAAAGTCTAGACCATTGACACAATTAGACTTCGTATAAATAAATGGTAACTATAATATAAATAAGTCTCTCGAGATCGTTCTGTGCAATTTCTCGGGTGCCTACTTTTCCATTTCACATTGTCAAAAGTCAAAATACATCGATCCGATCCAAATTAAGAATTTGGCGTGGGTCGGCTGGTGGCTGCTGAAGCATCGTGTACCAACGCTTGGCACGGTATCAGGCACACAGTGGCGAAAACTCGAATTGTCTACGAGCTTTCTAACACGGCTTAGGTAGCACTATTGGCATACTAAAAAGGAACTCACGATTCCGTCACGCTCGATTGTGGCGCGGATTTGTTCGGATCCAGGCGTAACGTTGAACGCCGACGTCGATTTCAATCCGTGTTCCAGAGCCTGTTTCGCGATGTTCGCGCACCGACCCATGTCCTCGTAGGAGCTGTTCGTGCAGGAACCGATCAGGCCGACCTTGATCTCGTTGGGCCAACCGTTCTGCTTGGCAGTTGAACCTAATCGCAATCATTGACAAAATTATTTCACGAATTTCCCCGGCAATTCATAAACCGCTAAGAAAACGTATACAATTCCGCTTGAACATTCAAACGCTGTGTCTTTGCATAAAGTAGCCGTATGAAATTGTAATCGCGACGTTTCGACCGGTCAAGGTCGTTCCAAGGTCGCTACAATTCTCTTCAGGTCGATTTTACTGTGTGCAAACGTTCACTCAAACTCAAATTCAATTTGTCCGACACTTTCCATTGCACAGATTTCCTTTCTAATGAAAATACTAGTGTTCAAGGTTTATATTCAAGTATAGACTAGTCAAGATCATTTCAAGGTCGCTGCGATTCTTTTCTTACTGGTTTTGCTATTATCGAAATATTAACTCAAACTTGAATTCAGTCTGTTCCCTGTTCAATTAACATTAAGTGTTTGTGTTCATATTTTGTCTTCGAGATTGAACGCGTCAAGGTTATTTCAAGATCACTACAGTTTTTCCAAGACAAGGTTTACTACTGTTTGAGTGTCAATCACTTGATTTCAACATCGATTGAAGCTGTGTACTCAGCTTCTCAAACAGTATTCGTCGCTAGAATTGAGCTGTCCACGTAAAAGACGTTCAAGTTTGTCTACAAGATTATGCCAATTACTTCGAGATAACTGCGTTTAAAAGTCATTCTACTGTCTTTCGATTATCGATCAACTGCACCAAACCATAATCATATTCCTTGTCATCAAGACCGATCGAAATAAGCCTACATTTTAACGTCAGTTTTATCGCCGTCCAAACGTCTGTCGCTATTCGAAACTCTCTTAAAGCACGAAATCGACTTAAAAACAGATGAATTCGCTCGCTAAACATAGTATCAAGGTCAATATTAGAGCCGCATTTTCCTGGTGTGCATTTCGAAACGCAGACACGTCGTTGCAGCGAAACCGGTTGTCACGTGGACGGTTTAGCAACATTAACAAAGGAATCGCGTCTTTCTCCTTTCCTTCCCCCGGTTGGTCGCAAACGGCTCATAATCCTAGTCGTCTGAGGCTACTCTATGCTTGCACAATCGGTTTCTGGGCCGATTGCGACAGCGTGCGTCGCAAACAAGTCAGTTGCCGACAGCTCGGGCAACGTTTTCAAGTGCACACCGATCGAAAACCAGCGCATCACTTACCCAATTTCGAGATCGGATGGGCGAGGTCAGGGGTGAAGGGTCCGTTGACGTGGGGCTCCAAGGTGGAGAGGTCCAATTCGATGATCTGGTCGTATTTAGCATTCTTGTCCGCTGTCAGGAGACTGGTTCTGTGCAAATCCGCGGCATCGGCGATCCCCGAGCGGCCGGTAGCCCTCAGATAATCTTGCATACGGAAGTTGTAGGGGAAGATCGAGGTGGTGGCGCCGATTTCGGCGCCCATGTTGCAGATGGTGGCCATACCGGTGCAGCTGATGCTGTCTACACCTGGCCCGAAGTACTCGACGATAGCTCCGGTGCCTCCTTTCACCGTGAGGATGCCGGCCACCTTCAGGATGATGTCCTTGGGGCTGGTCCAGCCCTTCAATTCGCCGGTCAGCTTGACCCCGATCACCTTAGGGCACTTCAGCTCCCATGGGATGTTGGCCATCACGTCGACAGCGTCCGCGCCACCGACACCGATGCAGAGGCAGCCCAGTCCTCCGCCGTTAGGCGTGTGCGAGTCGGTACCGATCATGAGCAAACCCGGGAACGCGTAATTTTCGAGGATGATCTGGTGAATGATACCGGAGCCGGGGTTCCAGAAACCGACGCCGTACTTCGCGCCTGCGGTTTTCAAGAAGTTGTACACCTCCTTGTTGATGTCCTTCGCGCGCTTCAAGTCCTGATCACCGCCGATTTGTGCCTCGATCAAGTGATCGCAGTGGATGGTGGAAGGAACGGCGACCTGCGGCAGTCCTGTGGAGGTGAATCGATTGTTAGAAAAATTCATGGAGCAGTCTTCGATGTCGTACGCTCCTCGAAAGTTACCAGAGTTCGTCTTCCGATTGCTATTAATTTTGCATCGACATGGTTTGCTCGATCGTTTCTGCGGAACGTTTCAAATCTAGCAACTCGAATGTCTGTCTTGAAAGATTATGGCAAGTTATGGTACTTGTGAGATTAGAATATTTTTGCTCTATGAAACCTGTATCCATTCAAACTTAGTTTGAGTAAGGAAGTAATTTCTAACTTATAGTTATATCTGACGTCGCTCGTTAACTCGCGAACAAATTGCGTTGCAAGGCGGTAAAATTGCAGACGAACGAAAGATTTTGCAGCGTTTAAAATAGAAGATCGATGAGCTTCCGGCAGAGGAGCGTACGAGGATTGAGATAGACGGTAGAAGATAGCGTGCCTGAGCTGATAAACTGCAACATAGCCATCTGAGCAGTGGCATCTTGCATAGCCACACGGTCCGGCCGTAACCTGAGGTAGCTTGTACCTCGGACAATATCTTGTTTAGCGGGTTCATCAAGATGGGAGTACAAAACTTTTTCGGAGAGCGTTAATGGTCGGGTTAACCTGAAACAATTTCAGAAATATTGTCAGTCCGTGATCCATTGATCATTGGACAGCTACTTTTGCAATGTATACTTTTGCAATAGTTACCTTTTTTTCACAACCTTCAGGTTCGCCTCCAATTTGTCATACGGAAGGTAAGCAGTTTTGTCGAATTTGGACATTGCCACTTTCGCGGCAGCGAAGCTCAACGGACTTACGCTGAAACATCTTTGCTGGATGTCTGCCGCGAAGACAGCGAGCCTCTGAAAACCAACAATCGTTATTAATTAATTTGGTCGTAGTTTAATGGTAGAGATAAAATTTTCTCGAGTATCTTAATTTATGTTCGTATTATGTTTATGAAATATTCTCAATCTATTTAGTGCTTGTAAAATATGTACAATTTATTTTATATGTGTATCTAGAATGTGTTCAATCTATTTTATCTTTCTAAAATATTCTAATTTCATTTTATGTTCTCAAAATATTCTCAACTCATATTACCATAATTATTGCCAATTAAATAGAGCAGTTATTGCTGAATAGAATGATTTCACATAAAACAGGATAAATTTAATATAAAATAAGAAATATATAAGAACATGCAAATGTACATGCTACACATTAAATTTATTATATATAAATTTTATACATTGGACATATGTGCAAATTTATCAAAAATTATAAAGAAAAGGAAGAAGAGGAGTCATCAATTCTACTTTCATTATATTTCCCTGCGTTCATCGTATCATATTCGTTCGTTGCAGCTCTTTGATTTAATTAGAAATTATAATAATAATAGTATTATATACTATATATTATAATAATAGTATATATACTAGTATATATACTGTCTCTTATACACATCTAGATGTGTATAAGAGACAGCAAGATATTGTCCGAGGTACAAGCTACCTTAGGTTACGGCCGGACCGTGTGGCTATGCCTGTCTCTTATACACATCTAGATGTGTATAAGAGACAGCAAGATATTGTCCGAGGTACAAGCTACCTTAGGTTACGGCCGGACCGTGTGGCTATGCCTGTCTCTTATACACATCTAGATGTGTATAAGAGACAGCAAGATATTGTCCGAGGTACAAGCTACCTTAGGTTACGGCCGGACCGTGTGGCTATGCCTGTCTCTTATACACATCTAGATGTGTATAAGAGACAGCAAGATATTGTCCGAGGTACAAGCTACCTTAGGTTACGGCCGGACCGTGTGGCTATGCCTGTCTCTTATACACATCTAGATGTGTATAAGAGACAGCAAGATATTGTCCGAGGTACAAGCTACCTTAGGTTACGGCCGGACCGTGTGGCTATGCCTGTCTCTTATACACATCTAGATGTGTATAAGAGACAGCAAGATATTGTCCGAGGTACAAGCTACCTTAGGTTACGGCCGGACCGTGTGGCTATGCCTGTCTCTTATACACATCTAGATGTGTATAAGAGACAGCAAGATATTGTCCGAGGTACAAGCTACCTTAGGTTACGGCCGGACCGTGTGGCTATGCCTGTCTCTTATACACATCTAGATGTGTATAAGAGACAGCAAGATATTGTCCGAGGTACAAGCTACCTTAGGTTACGGCCGGACCGTGTGGCTATGCCTGTCTCTTATACACATCTAGATGTGTATAAGAGACAGCAAGATATTGTCCGAGGTACAAGCTACCTTAGGTTACGGCCGGACCGTGTGGCTATGCCTGTCTCTTATACACATCTAGATGTGTATAAGAGACAGCAAGATATTGTCCGAGGTACAAGCTACCTTAGGTTACGGCCGGACCGTGTGGCTATGCCTGTCTCTTATACACATCTAGATGTGTATAAGAGACAGCAAGATATTGTCCGAGGTACAAGCTACCTTAGGTTACGGCCGGACCGTGTGGCTATGCCTGTCTCTTATACACATCTAGATGTGTATAAGAGACAGCAAGATATTGTCCGAGGTACAAGCTACCTTAGGTTACGGCCGGACCGTGTGGCTATGCCTGTCTCTTATACACATCTAGATGTGTATAAGAGACAGCAAGATATTGTCCGAGGTACAAGCTACCTTAGGTTACGGCCGGACCGTGTGGCTATGCCTGTCTCTTATACACATCTAGATGTGTATAAGAGACAGCAAGATATTGTCCGAGGTACAAGCTACCTTAGGTTACGGCCGGACCGTGTGGCTATGCCTGTCTCTTATACACATCTAGATGTGTATAAGAGACAGCAAGATATTGTCCGAGGTACAAGCTACCTTAGGTTACGGCCGGACCGTGTGGCTATGCCTGTCTCTTATACACATCTATATTATATATTATATCTATAATATATAATAATAGTATTAATAATAATAGTAGTATTCTTCGTTGAAGAATACCTCACTATACTTTTAAAATGCACAGTTGCATTTAACAATTTTAGAATCTTCGTTAATCTTTATATCAAAAGTATTTAATTCAGTAGAACATTATATCAGATGTATGTACGTAAAGAGAACTTGTATATACTTCGTTCAAAACAATTGAAATGTTACAAACCAATTTATTAGATCATACTACACGATAGCATACTACGATGCTATCCAACAATCATTCCCAATTTGTGCAACCATTGAAACGACAACTGAAAAGTCATCGTTGTTGTACAAACAACGAACAATCCCGTCTACCATTATTTACGGACCTGTTTTTCAAATTCGCTTATCTTCGACGATATTTATCCGGGCTCTATTTCTGCACCCGCGTATCGCGTTGCAACTGACAAGGCAACGTACGAAACACAAATAGAAACATCTCAGGAACGCTCCTATCTGGAGAATCCTCCCGAAAAGCAAATACCGCTGGCAGAACATCGACGATCGTCCGTTCAATTTCCAATTCTACGTCGGTGGAAACGCAAAAGCGACGAGAACACCGGCAGCTGATCAATGAACTCGCATTTCGGAGTCGATTTATCTGGAACGAGCGTCGCCGTCCCGATTCACATTATCGCATCGGGGGCCAGGAATTCATGAATATAAACATCGGCCCCAAATAAGCCGGGATAGAGAATGTAAATGTATTTATAGTGTCGCGCGTAGGACAATCGGGGACGCGTGAAAGTAAGCAACAATTAAGAGGCACCGCCGACGATATCTCGACGCGAAATAACGCGCTCGCGTATCTATAACGCGCTCGAGATCATGTGCTCGGCGCGTAGTGTACCACTCGCATTACGAAATTATGCATACACGTTCATCTGTGCACATCGGCGGTTACGTAATTCGATAATTGGCGAACATGAAAATATCGGGCTGCTCCAATTCCCGGTGCAAGATCAAGAGCAACGAGATCTCGTCGCCGAGAAACGGGCGCGTACGTGACGAATGAAACGAAGAAGAATTCGCGTAACTGCGATGCTCGCGAAATTCGCGTTATCGCCGGCACGAGAACGGCCGCTTGTTGTCGCGCCTAATCGGCCTCGTTATCTCCGCTATTTCATTGTCAATTGGCCAGCAGAAAGCGGGCGCTCTCGCAGCTGTGCGTACCACGTTCGTTCGCACGCGCCGCACGCTCGAATCCTGCGCAATGATCGACCACATAACCTCGAACTCTTCCAAAAATGAACACGACAGGCACACGACGGATGCTCCGAGAGCCTCGATTATGTAACGAGCAAAAAGGCATTTCGCGGATACCTGCAGGCGCCGAAACGCTTCCGCGCGACCGATTCTACTGCGACGCGCAACGCCGTTCGCTTGGAACGCCATTGTCGTCCTTAATCTACTCCGAAATAGAGACCATGAGCGAAGTCAGGTGTTCCCTCGAACCCTCGCAATCCCGACTTGACAGCGGTCGTCTGACAAACGGGAGACGTAACGGAACGACCCTGTCGAGCCCGGTTCGCGAAAATGGCACCCGTTCTGCTCCGAAATCTTCGTTTCATCTCGGACCACGCGGATCCGACAAGAATTCGTCGTCGCCGCACTGGTCCGGGGAAAATCAATAAAACGGTGTCTGCTAACAGACAGTAACGTTCGATTAACACGGTTGACCTTGGTAACGGGGTCAACGAGCAGAATTTGGATCGGAGCGGAGCGCACGGGTCACCGCCGGTTTCCCGAGATTCGCGGATACGTGAGCGAACGGAGAACGTGCGAAATATTGGTGCGTGAAAAAATGTTTGCGAATCTCGCGTGCATACCTGGCCGCTAACAATTCGTGAGCAGTACAACATTGTCGACGAAGGAAGCCTTCCGTGACGTTCTCAGCGGTGCCGAATTGGGTTTTAAGGCCGAGAGGTAGCGCAGGCGCGTGACCGACAGCTGGGTAAAGGATGTTTTTCTCTCGTGGCAGCCCTTCTCAAACCGGCCACTCGAGAACTGACGGAAATTTGGCTTGTCTTCCTCGTGTCAATGCTGAACAGCCACGCATGCGCCCCAACGGACGTAGATTCAACGTTCGACGAGAATTTCGTCGGAACTTTGCAATGGCGCCCCCTCGTTAAACCGTCTCCCGTCGAGAGCCACGACGGCGACGGTAATCGCTGCCAAGTTTGACAGAGCAGAGCTGCTTCGATAGCGGAGCTCTGTAAAATGGCGCAGCGATCGCTGGTTAGGTCTCGGCAGCCTCGGTTAGGCGGGGACCTAACTCGTTGATTCTCTGGGTGGGCTCAAGGGGGCATCAGGCTCGCTGCTTTCTATTGATCTTGCCGCCTGTGGAAGGACCACGTGGTTTCTTTAAAGATACGCGTTGGCGGGAATTTTGTATCGGATCTGCACGGATAGTCTTTTGCTATACGGACATCCGAGCACGTTTGAGATATTATTTTCAGCAACATGTTGTTCATTTCATAATTAATTCTACACCAGTGACCACTTTTGGAGTTTTTCACCCTTAGCTGTCACACTGGGTCGAAATGACCTATTTTTTTTCTTTTGAGAAAGTGAAATCAATCGGTTAGATGTGTTTGAAGAGTATGCTCGTCATGGAGAAGTGGTAGTACGGTAATTTCTCCCCAATTCGCGCTCAGATTGCGCACGAAAATGGACAATTTGGGAAGAGGAGATACGGTTGTTTGAAACTTGCGTCTCGTTTTTATAGTTGTTGACAATCGGCGATTGTAAAAACGAGCCGGTTTGTTCATTTTTGTTGCGCAATCTGAGCGCGAATTAGGGAGAATTTACTGAACTACCCCTGACAGGAAGTATTCGAACGCTATAACTTTTTTTCAAAAATGGATTGAATGGTTTGAATTTTTAAAAAATGTCATTTTTTTATTGCTTTCGTTTCAAAAAGTGTTCGAGTGATTATTTAAATTGTAATGTTAGTGAAAACAAAAACGTATTCTCAAATTTCAAGATGTTTAGAATATTTTGAGACTGATCCTACACGAAGGTGTTTACATTGTTATAAAAATAAGATTAGAAAAGAATATCACGATATTAGTGTTCGACGTGCAAAGTCCACTCTACAGCAACAATTTGAACTTTTAACTTTTATTAACTTTTATAAGTATTTGATTTTTCCTACGTTTTATTATTTCTTCGTTTATTATATACCTAATATATGTTAATTTTAAGCGAATAATAAGTAAATATTAGTAATAAAATTGTTAATTTTATAAGAGTCAATTAGGTTAGGGGTTAATTTTAAAGGTTGATTTTATTAATAGGTGCGCGCTCTGAAGAGAAAGCGCCACAGCTAACCGGTTAACAATTAATTCAATAAACGATATTCTAGAATGTTCAAATTATATCCTCAAATTCTTGGGTGACAATGGTATCGCTTGTTCTTGAATGACAGTTGTTTGAAAACCCAAGGAAACCATTAAATACACTTTAGTCTATTGACCATTCGATTGCAAAAAATTTGCCTTATCTTTCTCAATTATGAACAATACCATCATTATAACAAACATCGATTTACAACATTAAACGTTGAATAATGTACAAAATATTCGATAAAGATTATAAATCTGCTATAAAACGAATTACACGGGTACAGTGTACTTTAAGACGCAATATTTGACAAGAACAATATCTGTACTGCTCACAAAATCGCTCAACAGCTCAACAGCGAACGAAAAAGACCCGAATGAAGCCCAAATTCACCGGACCCCCCGAAACTGCCAAAATATTCGATAAGAGTTTCCTGAATGGACAGAACTTACGTCATCTTACGAGAGCGTTACTCGCATCAAACGGTGCGTATCAGTTATCAGAAACTGCGCGTCGACTATAACGCTCAGATTAGGCTTATCTGCGGTGCATATTTGGAGCAGATCAGATACTTCTACGGCCAAGAAGCCTCTGAGCAATGTTTCTCAATGATACAATCAGATAGAAAATTATTCGCCGCGGATTACGTGACAGCGTTTCCTCCGCGAAACGCGGATCCGCGGTTCTAATCTGATCTGCTGAGGTTCGAAAAATGGCCGCTGCTTCGACCTTACCGACCCGTGACCCCGAAACACGCGTGCACACGCCGGCTGCGACCGTATAAAAATGAAAGCGAAGTAGCCGGTGGTCGCGGGCCGGTCTCGAGGAATAAAGTTTGCAAGTCGTCGCCGCGGAATTTCGAGCTGCCGATCGTTCCGATAACCGGCCGTGCCTTAAGCCGCTTTATCTCGACAACGATACCGTAAAACCGATTACGTCGAGCTTCGTATCGTCGTGGAGGAGGTCTTGTTCGCGACGAACGAGATCCCTTGGCGCGAGCCATCGGCGAACACCGATGATGAAAGTTCGATCGAACAACTGTGATTCAGTCGCGTTGCGCAACGCGCGGAAGAATGAATTTAGAGCAGACCTTTGACTAAAAATATTTGAGAAAAATGTTGGTAGTAGTGAATGAAGTACTCTCGTTTGTATGAAATGATATTTCGAGATTTATTTGACGTCGCAGAAAGAAAATTATTAATTGAAATTGTATTTTCTTAGGATGTACTCTGCAATAAATGAATTGAAATTGTATATTTTTTAGGATGTACTGGAAACAATGAATTGAAATTGTATTTTCTTAGGATGCACCGGAAATAATTATTAGGAATAGTATTTGGTATGTCCAAATTTCCAACAAATATTTGAAATTATATTTTCTATTTTCAACATTTATGAGAGAAAATATAAAAGCATAGAAAAAATACGAACACGTATTGTTTTGGAAAATAAACTTTTTTTCATGTTTCTCTTAATCAATGAATGCAATTGGAAAGTTTAACATCTGTTAGGTTTTAATAATGTACGTATCTTAAATAATACATATTTTAAATGTTTAAAATTTCATGAAAAGAATATTAATTTTCAAATAAAGAAAATGTATACTTCAATCAAGTATTTAAAGTTCATATTGTCAAATATATATTTTAAATACTAGTTACATGTTTTAAAATCAGTTACGAATTTCAACTAGTATTTTATTTAATACAGAAATAAAAGAATATTAGTATTTCGAATGAAGCAAATATGATACAGTTGAGAGAGGTAGAGTCTGTAAACATTTGCATTTCTTAGTTGAAGTATAATATATTTACCCAGTACTGATTTGGAGTACGAATGCAAGAATCGAAGCGTAGTGAGCCGGATCATTTTTCTTTTCGAGCGTATTACGTCTGATTGCCTTCGCAGATCGTAAAAATGATCGTCGAAGGCCTGATCGATCCTTGCATCCTTTCGACACATCCTGGTGTTGATTGCGGATAATATGAATTCTGATTGATTAATACGAATACTGACGTACTCGGTAACGTTCTTCTCAGTTAGTTCGTATCCTGTTCCTGTCCGATTTTTCTAATTGCCCTAATCTGAACCCGGATTGAATGAAATTAACCTGTTCGAGTGCTCCGCGTATCACTTGCTATAATTAGAAACTTACAATAATACTGTGAACGAATCATTTCTCTGTTTCGCGGAAGACTTCATTTGCTTTGAAATCGTAGAATGCAAATTTTTAAATAGCACGCGGCGTTGTTCAAACTGACTCGTAATTGAAAATCTCAGCTTCTTGTCGTTCATTCTTGTCCAACACGTCGCACGCGTCTTCCGCCTTGGAAAAAACCTGGAGAACGCCGGACACTGAAATGGAACAGGCGAACGCGTCTCGTTATGTACAAACAAGTGATTAGGGTCAGCTCGGATGAGAGTTGTTTAATTACTCTTACTTACATTATCTGAAATTTCTTTTAAGTAACACGTTACTTTATATTTCGTAATCATTTCTGTGATCAATTTTGAAATAACATTGTCCGAAATAATTATAAGAAAGAATATATTTGAAATAAGTATTTGAAATAATTATTTTAAAACAACATATATCTGAAATAATCATTTAAAATAATATGTTCGAAATAATTATATTTTTGATAACAGAGAAATTCCTCTTGGAAATTACATGGAGATTTAATTATCAACTCTGGTAATGAGTCCGGATATTATTTCTCTTGCCTTGTTTGAAATAAAAATGTAACGGCATATTCGATTACTTGAAATCGCTGTTATTTCAGATGGATCGATAATATTTTTCATTTCAAACAACAGCATTGAAGACAACGGTTCGAAATGAATGATATCAAATATTTATTTCGTATTTTTATTTTAAATAAAATTCGCCCAGGTCTGATTCAACGTCGGCAGAAGGATCGATGAAAAATTGTCTTCAACCTGGATCCCTGGAAAATTACACGCACGAGTTTCTTAATCAAAGCCCGTGATGCTGAGCTAAGTGACAAGGCCGGTGTTTTACAATGTAAAATTTACATTACCGTGTCACCGATGAAATAGCGTTACGGCCGAACTGAGCTAATCGACTGTCGATCGCCTATTATTTCTACCCCATTACGCGATCGGCGAATCGGGTGATACTTCATTGGCGCGATGCTTGTTCCATAGGCGATTCGATTATAATCGATGATCTAAATATCAGACCTGAAAATGGTACAGGTATCTCGTACTCGAGAAAGGACGTGTAATCATTTTCTGGGAACGCATGCGACAATGAAGAATTCTGTTCCAGGTACGATGAAGTCAATAATCTGAATCACGTGCACCGTCGCGATTGTTCTGCATCCTTTCAAGAGAAATTATGCGCCGTTCATTTAAAAATTATCGACTACCAATCTTGCGTTCAACAAATGAGCATCATTCTTTTCGTCTACAATAGACAATATTCAGCATATTTTTATTAAAACGATGCAGCTCCAACCCTTAATTAAAAAGGTAGACCACAAAGTTTTTTAAATATACATAGCTTTCTCAAGTCAATCACAACTCAAACTATTTTAACATTGGATGAATTAATATAAATCAATTCTGATATTTTCTCTTACGATTATTGAAATTATACAAATGTTTCCTTTATACGTATAAATATTATAGTCAAAATAATAAAATTTGATT